TTTCTGAAGAAGGGTCTAGGCCCGAAATGTCAGCCTTCCTGCTCCTCTGATGCTGCTTGGCCTGCTGTGTTCATCCAGCTCCACACCTTGTTATCTCAGATTCTCCAGCATCTGCAGTTCCTACTATCTCTCATACCACTGGCCTTCCTCGCTGCCTGCTACATAGAAGAAAGGAGAAGATAGGATGGGAACAAGGAGCTTAAATTCCTCGACAAATAAAACATTGGGTGTTACAGCAAGGTCAGAAATCACACGACACCAGGTTATAGTCCACCAGGTTTATTTGAAAATACAAGCTTTTGGAGCCTCAGTCCTCCTTCAGGTGTTAGTGAGAGAGGTAGTATCAGACACAGAATTTTGTAAGTAAAAGATCAAAGGGTCACACCACAGATGAGAATGTATTAAACAAACCGAGCATGCTGTTAAATATTTAATCAGTTAGAAGGTTTTAATTGATTAATATGTATATATAAATCCCCGAATTCTTTTCAAGTCACTGTCCTGAGAGAACTAAAGGTTTTATCAGTGTAAAGAAGAGGTGACATTTTAGGTCGGACAATGTATGCCGGGTGCGAGGCCCTGCCTGTGTCTTGGCTTGGAGCCAGACAGGTCCTACTTCCAAAGTAGGAATCCACAAAATGCCACATTGACTGACAGTCCACAGACTGTGTGCCTTCTGAGCAAAACAGAATGTATCTGCAAATACAGATCCACCCCACAGATCCGCATGCGTGTGTGCGTGCGTGTGTGAGAGGGAGAGGAAAAGTGTATGTGTGAGAGAGGGAGTGTGTGCATGTGTGTGGGGAGAGAGAGAGAGAGAGTGTGTATGTGTGTGTTTGTGCGCGCGCGTGCATACATGCTTGAGAGAAAGTGTGTATGAGAGAGGATCTGTGTGTATAAGAGTGTGTTTGTGTGTGTGTGTGTGTGTATGCGCGTGAGAGAAAGTGTGTACAAGAGAGGATCTTTGTAACTCTGTGTGGGGCTGTGTGTAAGAGTGTGTGTTTGTGTGAATGAGTGAGTGTGTGTGTGTGTATGTATGTGTGCGTGTGTGAGAGTATACAGTGTGGTGGGGGTCACCTGTAGTGTGACGTGAATCCAAGATCCTGGCTGGGGTCATCCTCATGGGTACCGAACTTGGATATCAGCATCTGCTCGGCGACTCTGCATTGTTACGTATCCCGAAGTCTGCCTTGGAGGATGTTTACCTGAAGGTCTGAGGCTGAATGTGCTTGACCGCTGTTACAGTAGGCAGTAGTGAAAAATGGCTGTTCACTGAGTGGGCTGTGGAAAGGTCATATTTCTGGGCAACTCCTTGATGACACTGGATTGTTTGCACTTCTAGATGTCTCTGGGGTGTAGACAGAAGGGCTATAAAGCTGAGAGACAAATTACTTGACCATGGCTCTATGTATACAACCACAACTCTTACGCTGGTAAAATGAATGAGATGCTTCACAGGAGTCCTTATTGAGGTTTATAAAATCATGAGGGGTATGGATAAGGTGAATGGCAAGGGTCTTTTTCCTAGTGTGGGGTGTTCAAAACTAGGGGGCATATTTTTCAGGTGAGAGGAGAAAGATTTAGAAAGCGCTTGAGGGGCAATTTTTTTTTTTACACAGTGTGGTCCGTGTGTGGAATGAACTGCCAGAGGAAGTGGTGGATGCAGGTCCATTTAAAAGACATTTGGATAAGTTCGTGAATAGGAAAGGTTTGCAGGGATATGGGCTAAAGGCAGGCAAGTAGGACTAGTTTAGTTTGGGAACATAGTCGGCATGGACTGGTTGGACCGAAGGGTCTGTTTCCATGCTGAATGACTCTATGACTCCATTATCAGAAAAAAAAGTTGATACCAAGTGAAAGGAGAGTTTAGAGCCTGGACAGCTGGAGGTATGGCTGCTAATGGTGTGGGGGATGCTCAGGAGGCTAGATTGGGAAGGATACTGTCTTCAGAGGGTCGAAGGCCTTGGATAGCTTATAGGGAGGGTTGTGCTCAGAGTAGGACTTAACATAAGAACGTTAAAATTGAAGCCTTTCTGGATGGGGAGCCAGCGTTAGTCTGGAAGCACATTAGTGATGGAGAGGGAACCAATGAATCGGGATGAAGATTGATGGGGTGTTTCCCAGCCCAATTAACAGATGCATTCACAGACCTTGGGAAATTCCTCACTGGAAAGCTGACCAGTTAACGGGAACATACAGGACGGTGTAATCTGGTTGTGTGCCTGACTCAGCCTAGATATAGACCACCTAAATAATGCAACAATTAGCTCATGCCTTGATCATCTTGTCAGCCATGTAGTCATGAGTACAATATGGTATATTTAATTTCATATAACATTGTGATTAGATTCATAAAGGAGCCTTGTACAATTTGAGTAGGTTATTGAAGATGGAGCAATTAGATGAGATTTGTAAGCTGTATTGTGTTTTTAGTTTGTACTTCCTGATGCCTGATTATTTTATTGTATATATACAGCCTGGACCTGATCCGCTCTGGAACTCTGTATTCCAGACAAACCTTCCTTCAATCTTCAAGGTCAGAAGAGGGAGTTTTCAAATTTATGGCTCAGCGATAAGCAGCTCGTTTTCCAGAAAGCTGTTCCAATGTCCATCACCATGGCGACGTCAGGGGAGTAAGTCAGGTTGGACTAAAGCCGAGAAACATTTGTACCTATTGAGTTAGGCTCAAAGCACTCTTTTTAACCTTTAGCGATAATAAACTTGGCAAGTCCCTGGTATGTATTGCTTAGGCAGATGACAGTTAACCTAGACACCAGGAGGGTGGGGTTCGTTTTGAAACAAGTGATATTCATGACAGTTGCACAGTTGCTGAGGATTTACAAGAATATTAGTGGTTACTTGTGACAGTTCAAAGAGTAAATATATCCAATCGAGTGAGTAACTGAGTAATGTAGGTTTGGACACTTCCTGTACCAAAACCCAATCTGAATTGAGTTTGCTGTTCTCAGTGGGATCGCTGTGCAGACTTTAGGGGTTAAGTTCAGTGGCAGAAAGTTGACCAAGATTGCAGCTGGTTGTAATTTGTGCTGAGGGGTCAGTTTAAGTTCAGCTGTAATGCTTGTTGTAGTCAAACCCTCTCTGGGCAATAGGCCTCTCTCATGCATACTGGGCATTTAACAGTGACTGTTGCCTGTTGGAACTGTACTTCAAAAAAAAGCTTATATTAGGGCTTCGCCAAGTGGATTCACAAGGTGAAAGTTTAGAATCGCAGACTCTAAGTCAGCAACTGCCAGTGTGGAATATAACAGTTGCACCCGCCCAGTCTAACGGAAAGGCCTAACCACCCCCCAACAACTTTCACAGGGCTCCCCCCTATACCCACAGGTCTTGGTGAGAATCCTGACAAACTGTTAACTCCAATATGATCAGTAGAAACTGTGCAAGAGCAAGACCTTTTTCTATTATTTCAACCTGAGTGGGTTAAAGAGCAATCGAGTGGGATAGATTGGAATCTTTAGGGTTAGGTAACAGTGGAGCAGGATGGATCAGAACCTGAGGCGTTTCAATGCTGATTACGGTACTGTCACATCATTCTTAGGGATGGAAAGGGCCAGATACAGAGTTGTGGCT